AATTGTCCTCTGTGGAGAGCCGGATGGGAAACCGAGCTATTAAATATAGTTGAACTCGACTTCGCGCGGGACAAAAGGGGGATGGCTGGTGTTTCTCAAGCCCGCGCGTAGCTTGCCAACTGGCTTTGATACATTAGCGGGCGATACTCCTATCCCCTTGCAAATCCAGGATGATACCGAGCCGGATGCAGGCGACGTCGTAGCCCGCGAAATACGCACTCTGCTGCCACTATGTAATACCGTATCTTCTCCCTCTCTCTCTCTTCCCACCGCGTCGGGACACACTGCGAAATATCTCGAAGTATCGCATTTGTTTCCACGCTCGGTCTATCGCGACGGAAGAAACGCAGAAAGATGTCGAAAATGCTGAAACACATTTTCCCTCGTCGTTGCTTTCTTTTTTTTTTTATCTCTCCAGTATATTTTCTCCGCCCTCGAATGCTTCGCCGTTATTGGACGAAGAGGAATATTCCGCGAGAGGGAAAGAAGACAGTACCTTCGCAGTACCGTCTTCTTTCAGCTCCGTTGAGGAAACACGGTGAATTTTTTACGAGGCAGAGCGAGTTTTGACAACGAGAGGATCTCGTTTATTCGACTTCGAATCAGAATTTCGAACGAGTCCCGGCGAGCATGACGAATTTTTTATGCTGCCCCCCACCCACCTCCCAAGGCGGGAAGAATTCAATCGTACCGGGTAATCAGAGTCACCGCTGAAATTATTTTTATACCCATCAAAGAGGGAAAAATACTACAGAAAAATCCAGTAAATTACGAGTAGTAGCAAGTTACGTGTACTAGTGGCATTTTATTAGGAAATAAATGATCGTTCACCATTCATGCTTATACAGTAAATCCTCGATGAGTGTTTGAAGGCTCCGCTGTATTGAACATTAAACTAAACCTCATTAAAAAGTCAGCGTTACACCTGGAGACCTCTCCTGTCAGTGTCGAGGAGCTTTCGAACACACATCGAGGATTTACTGTATGTAGTATCAATAACCGTGTATAATTTGCTTAATACGTTCGCTACGTGTTTTATTTTTCGAAATTCTGCAATATATATTACAAATTTTTACTTATATAAAATTAAGATCTAGTTAATGTGAATATAAAGCTAATAGGGGCTGCTGTCACACATATATGACGGTGGGCTCTCAATATAAACCGATGCGTCACACAAAAAGATTAAAATGCCGTTCACCACGATTCATTTCGATTTCACAAACTCTGATCCTCATCATTCAATAAAAACAATCGAAAAAACTCTCCTATTCCTTTTTCACATTCGATATTCTTCGAATAAACATTAAATATTCATTCTTCATTAATATTTCAATTAAGCATGAATAATTCTCCCCATTTAACTTCGGCCACCATTAACGAAGAGATACTTTTCAGATGCACGAATATATAATTATTATCACCAAGGATTATTTTGTTCCGTCGAAATGTATTTCCCGCGGGCGGTAGCATTTCGGCGGGGTTTCATCGATGAAATTACTGGTCCGCGTACTTTCATATCGATTCCTTTTTCAGATGGTCTCTTTTTCGGGGCAGGGTTTGCTGTACCAACAGGAAATTCTTTCTTTTTTTTTTCTCTCTCATCCTCTCTCTCCGTTTCTCCACCGGGTATATCTGCGCGAGAAGGACTAGATTTCGATATCTTTCCGTGAACAGCCCGGCTAGCCCGGGGCAGTCCAGTGAAATTGCATCTGGAATTTCAATATAGCGCATATCATACTTCAACCTTAAAACGCCGCGAGCGTTGTCGAGTATTACTTTGAGGTTTGAGCTCTCGAGAGCTGACTTTGCGGACCGATTATAGAGATTCCGATTGAGAGGATGTACGTAAGTACCAAAGGGGGTGGGGTGGGTGGTATAGGGAGGAACGGGGTAGGCCACGAAACCCTTGGTCGATCCTTTTGTGGCATAAAATCGAGCCTGCAGAGGACGTTAGGTGGGTTTCCGCGGAATAAATGATCAAAAGCCCCCCCCTCTCCCCACCCCGTATAAAGCTCTTCCTATCGGCGGAGGTCTATATTTGCACGCTTCGCTGTTTCTACGCGCGTTTCTACGTGCAGTGCAATTCGCGGATGCTTCGCGGGATCTCTGTACATGCTTGAATAATTTTTAATGGCATTGTCGGGGACGCCATTTGAAAGGATCGTTCCTTCTGTGACGGCCAGCATGCATTATCTTGATGGCACCAGCATCGTGACATACCGTTTTTCGCTTTGTATACCTCGTCCAGTTATTTTTGCTCGTTCTATTTTGGTACGGTAAGCTGGATAATCTAGTCTTTGTTTTATGTACTAGTCTGACTGAAATCACTCATTTTAATAGTATGTGGTCCATACTCGTTTCTTAATAGAGAAAAATAAGGAATAATGAATGATGGAGAGATTAAGAAGTTTGTTTGACTACAGACGATCTTATTCTACTGAAGAATTAACGAGAGAAACAGTTGGAGGATCATGCATTACGTATAGCACTTTTTTGTCTCTCGCTTGGTAGGTGCAACAGGGCCAACCACATTATCTCGTAATTATTTCGAGCGATGTACCAGATTGGATTATAGCTTCTGATTTCCTTTTTCAGTAATAAAAATTATTAACATTAATCTATTACAGTAATGAGTTTCCATGTAATTTATGTATTTATAAGTCAATAATTAAAAATGTAAAATTTTCACGAACTTCCCCAGTCTCCGTGTAATTTAAATGGAAAATTGCTGGCCGAGGTTTGATGCACCAGTGCTCTAATATTCATCCGAACACAGCCCGGACCGGCTACTTAGTAGATTATTAGCCTCGAAACTGAAGGGTCTCGTGAAATCATTTAAGGTCGTCAAAGTCAGGAAACTAGGAAGAATTAATCACGTTTCGTTGTAACTGGTAGCCTCGTTACCTGTTTCGATCGCGTGGGTGAAGGGAAAATAGGGTTTCCAGCGACGCCTTTAATGAGCAACGAATCCAATTACAAAATATTGTCTGTCATGGCTAATTGCTGATTTCAATAATTCCCTATCTCGTAGCTCGGGCACAATGCGCTCGCGCAGCGAAATACACTAAATGCGTTAATGTCATTATATGAATATGCTACTAATTAACGCCCCTCCCCCCTTCCCAATGTCTTAGTGAGAAACGTGTATTTTTCGAGAGAATGAGATGGTTGAGATGTACGAAACATTAATATGCATTACCTACTCCTGTATAATCATGCTTTGTCGACCTTCTTGCATAATCTCGTTAACATTATTTCATCTAATTGGAAGTATGTTATTATATATAACATTATAATAAAATAATAATAACTCGACATTATTATTGCAAATATTCAGCTGCACAGGTTGCTTAAATAAAATATTGAAATCGTATATTATGGAGTATACTTTACAATCATTTAAAACATATTAAAATTATTAACCAACAAATTCTACGTAAAATTCTTTTTTGACTTCACTGCACAATGTTAAAAAACAATGTACGACGAACAGATTTACGTTTAAAAATCTTTTTTTTTTAATCAAAGAGCCAATGGCCTCGATGATGTATCCTCGCCAAAAATTGATCTCGGGGCAATTCAGTCGCGGACTTTTATTCGATGGATTAAAGACCGAAGTGGATCGATCGAGGGCTCTGCGTTGAGTAGCAAGAGTCTTGACATGCACGATAGTTGGTTTGTCATGCGCGACAGTGATCGTATAGGTTCAGAGAGTACGGGAAACTGAATACAGTGGGAAAGTTAGTCTGTCGAGAGTTTCACGGAGTTCGGGTGATTAATCGATAATGGGGGAGCGACTGATAGGTACGTTGTACTTTCGCGGAGTTTCGGCTCTTCGGAACATAATCATGAGTTACGTTCAAGAGTCGTTCTCCTCAGTTCGTGGGTGTCTCCTTTAAAGTCTGGGGACCCTGAACGAACACTAATCCCACGAAAACTTTTGTAAATAGAAATTTCAGAAATTAAATCATCGTCGAGGATAGACGCGATCTGAAATTTTTCTAGCTAGAAACTTAATATTCCTGTAACTTATTTCAATATAATTTGCTACATCGGTTTATTCAACCATTTCGATGTTGGTTAATTTACATGTTCGACGAAAAAGATAGAAGCAAGGACAGAAAGTTACAGATTCGGGCTAACAAGTGTGTAAACGATGATTAAGTTAAACTTCCGACGTCGACGGATTCAGAAAAAGTTTGAAGTCCCCTGATTTGAAAGTTGCTGACTTTAATTCGATATTCCAAATCTAACTGAATTTAAAACAGGGGCCTTGTGTACTTTGCAATGTGTTTCTCTCGAACAATTTTCTTCTCTTTACCGGAGACATTAATTGAAAATTTCATAAGTACATTCCTGGAAATAATATGCTACTCTAATCCGCAAAACAACTACAATTTATTATTGTCGTATTTACGATTTAACAAACACAGGCGTTGAAGCGCAAAATATTTGCCATGCTACCCTGATACATAATAAATTAGAATAATAATACACGAAATATACGAAGATAAAATTATTTTATCATTTATGGTATTGCATAAAAATTCCGTTAACCCTTAACCCACATATAAATTTTTCGTGCATAAATGATCACGTGCCATCTGTGAGACTGACATTATCAGAAACTGGTAGAAAAACAAAATTCTAACAAACTTTCTTCGACACAAATTACACAGAATCTTTCTGCTAAAAATGTATTCTTCAAGTTGTCAAAAAACCATAACAAAAAAAAAACAAAATAGCGTTTTCGTCTTGAAGTTACCAGAAAATTGATAAACAAAGCAGTTCTACTGACGTGACGTGACTGATTAAGAGTTAAGAAGTTTTTGTAAGGAAAACAAAATCAAACGATGTCTCAACTCTTTGAGCGTTGGCGTAAATCTCTCTGAGCAAGCTCAAGAGGGGTTGTTTGCGCGCACTTTCGAAATTGCTCATAACCAACCTGAAGCAGGCAAACATTCCGGTGTACGTAACAGCGTTGTGTTTGATTTCAGTGTGCCACTTGCTTCGCAGCGGAGTTGCGGCGATTTTTGGGCCGCAGAGCGCGCACACAGCCTCCCATGTGCAGAGCATTTGCGACACCATGGAAATTCCGCATCTGGAGACACGCTGGGACTACCGTCTCAGACGGCAAAGCTGCCTCGTCAACCTTTATCCGCATCCCACCACCCTCTCCAAGGTACGTGGAAATTTCTAGAATAGTAGTCTCGTCAAAGCATGAATGGAAATCTGTTACCGCATTCTTCGATCTCCTTTTTCTCGAGATTCTCCTCTAATCGTTCCACATTACTTACGCGGTGGCAGGCAATAAAGGATTCCGGTGAACCTTTAAAGCAGCCATTCTTACCGAACGTAACAAGGGAACATATCGAACCCACTCACGCAGATTCTGATGCCATTTATATGAGATATAGTTTACGGAAAAATATATGACACGATATTCTTTTATATCGGCAGTTCCATATTGAAGGGGCGAAAATAGCCCTAAAATTTAAGGGTCGAAAATACCTTTTTTGAAATATCTTGGGAAGTAGAAATGGAAGTGGAAATGTGTATTTTTCTACAAACATTGCTCGTTGAGATAAGAACTAACGCTATGGCTAACGTATCATATTGTTATCCATCGTCTATAAGAAATCATAAGACCTTTACCCGACAATCTGGCTAAATCTTCGTAAGCAACACGCGACGACGTTTTGCACTTTCACCGGTTAAATATCCTGAAGGCGTGCGGAACTTGCGGTGCATACATTAAGACTGCCCCGTGAACAGTATTCACAAAATATACATAAAAAGATCAGAAGAAATGGGTTAACAGTGGGAGAAAACCAGAAAGTACGGCACGTTTTTCCTACCCCCACAAAACGGTCAGAACACATCCCTACCCCCTGTTGAAAGGGACTTTAGTCTTCCAGTTATCGTGTTCTGGTTCGCCGTCAGCCAGAAGTTATAACAAAAGAACGGGAAGTTTCCGAATTTCTCTTAATAAACGAAAAGTTTCCATGGCGTAAAGTGGCTGAAAGCGACGCCGCGGCCGCATTCCCTCCCCCTTTGGCTTAACGAGAGTGCTGTCGTCCTAGTCTGCGCGCGAAATCTCGCCAACCTAATATTTGCCGCTCGCGAATACTCGTGTGCCCGTGACATTCCCTTCGTCGAGTTCTCTATTAGTATTTGCCAGCCAGGGGGGCAAGTACTTATTTCCACGAGAATCTTCATCTGCGTACTCCCCTTTCCTCCTCCTCCTCTTGACTACCGTTGAACTTCGAGGGGCGGACCGTAGATGGCGCATCGACGATGAGGATCTTCTACTTGTGAAAGTTGTGAAAGGATCGTTAGGGATGTTAACGGAAAATTTCTACCAGCTGTCGGAAACGTTCGATGTCGCTCAGGCTTTTGCGAGTTCCGCGTGTTTTCTCGTAAATGAGTAAGACGACGCTAAGGAAATTAGCTTCTTGCCGTTGGAATAGTCTCTTCGGGGCGTTGCAGTTTTCGCGAGCTAGATGTAACGAACACGTCTCACTTACGTTTACGTGATTGGTAATTGGAACAGTTGCCTGAATCTAGCTCATGAATACGTAATTTTGATTCTTATAATATTTAACCTTTCGTGATCTTCTTGGGTCTTTTAAGGCAGAAAGCGAAGTTTGGTGCTCAAATGTCTGAAATGAAGGGACTGTTATTAACAAAACCTGAAATTCAACTTTAAAGATTATTAGATCATGTATTAGACACCCTGAGAGGTACCCCTGATTTTTTTTAGATTTTTCGGAAGCCTATAAGATAAAAAAATAGGTATGGACCAGTGGTGGGATTCAGCCGGTACGAATCGGTTCGGCAGAACCGTTTGCTAAAAGTTTTGTAGTTTCGCCGAACTGGTTACTAAAATTGTAATCGTATTTACTTGGTTATTTCATAAAATTTTCATTATAAGTTTGGTGTTTATATTCTTGCAGTTAACCCTGAAGTTGCGAACCGGTTGCTAAATTATTGGAATCCCATCACTGGTTTGGACATAAACGATCCAGGGGGGTTAAGAATGCAGTAAAAATAATGGGGTTCACGGAGAATCTTAACACGTGGAAGCAATGTTGTAATTACTTTAATTGATTTAGGATTGGCTCATGTCTTGCAGACAGTTTAGGTCTCTGGACGCCATTTTGAGTGACGTACACGTGTCGCAAGCTACCAAATGGCGGGCACTATGCGTTTGTACGACGACACACGAACACGTTGGTCTTTTTTAATGTCGACGATACACGGTCGGTTCGCTAATGTTTTTCGTGTAGCGTTTCCTCTCTGGTTGAACGGGAGCAAGAAAGCATCCCGGCCGTCGCAATAAATCTCCCAGTGAAACACGAATCGCTAACGGGAAACTGCGCATTGACATCGCTTTACCGTGGCCGGGGGAAACTGAAACAGGATGTTTTAAATTTGAAACACTGCTGCAGAAATGCATTGGACGAATGGACGAGGAATAATATTGCGGATTATGCTCTCCTCGCTCGAACGGGATTCACGGGGCTTTGACAGTTGAAATCAACGGTTTATTCAAATGAAATATCGTAGTTTGTAATCTGAAATTCGATGGCGATAATCGGTGGAATTTCCTAATGCTGTAATGTAACACTATATTTTCATGGAGTTTCAACGGTTTTTAAAGATTATTCAGCGTCGGTGAGATGGTCTGATAGAAAATTTGAAGGAATTCATTTTAACGTTCTTTCTCTTTTATAAATGTGGGATAACTGATAAGTTTTTATAAGAACCATATGTTTTAAGAATGAAAACCTCGGGACATGAAAGATGCTTCTTGTCCTTCGTTACATTCTTCGATATTATTCCGCTCGATTACGGCTTGCGATCGTTCGTCTTCTGGCGGACTCGATTAAAACTTCGAGGAATGAAGCAGCCTGGACAAGAAAGCGGTCTTGATCGCGCGATAAAAGTTTAATGAGCTACTGACGAGCAGACGCGTGACCGTCGATCATAGTCGTGTTAAAAGAGAAGCGGAAAAAGTCTAGAAATCGGTCTCATTAATCGTCTTCGTGCGGATAGAATAAAACTGATGGTGTTCGTAGCCAGGAAAAAATAGATTCTTAACTTAATATGTAATCAGTTAAGGACTCTCTTGAGAAATTTCATACTCCATCCTCGAGACACACAACATAATTTAGAAATGATTCACCATATTACATAGACAGATGTATAATTTTCACCTGTGTGTATATGATTAAATCAAAATATTATGAAACTACCGACTATTGCCTACACGTTCAATATTTTTGTTATTTTTTAATAAAACATTCTCGAACCTCGAATCCCATAACGCTATTTTTGTTATTTTACGTTTCCGAGGAACGTGCTCGTGAAACTTGTTCGTTCAGCCGTGAAACGTGCACACAAAAATTCGAGTTCTAAGACTTCACGCGCAGACCGTTTTCCGAACTTGGTCGGTCGGCGAACCAATAAATGATGATTTACGGTTGCGCGGTCCCGACTTTGAAGAACGTCGATCAAAGAGAGATACAGGCAGAGATAGAGACGCGAACGATACCGCGCGTCACAAAGAGCTCGCACAAATTACTGCGTCAGAGTAAGAATTTCAATTATAGCCTAAACGCACACGACGAAATTGAACTCTAGCCATGCGTTAGACGTCACCGGCTCTCTCCCATGTCACGGGAAACGATAGTTCGAATTCCTGGAATGCCGGCTGTCGAACTGCTTCAAGTCGCGGGCGCAGTCGTCCTGATAAAGGAACATATTGCGATTGGCAAAAAATAACGATTGCGAGAGGCTATCACGCTAGCAATTTGTCACTTCTCTCCGTTTCTTGGAAATTGATCCCGTAAATTCTACGGTTGTATTCAACCGATGTTGGATGTTTCATCTTCCGAGCGTGTAAAATTCGATAATCGAACTAGTAAAACTAAAAACTATAAGGATTTGAGAAAATTCAATCGTTGCCCTCAACTTTTCAGTTATAGAAAGTTTGTATTTTTCAAAAGAACTCTTGCATAGTACTTGACTAGAATATATTTGCTTACAAATTATTCGTGATTTGTTTACAATTAGTTATTTAAAAGGCATAAGAGAATTGCAACATTAGAGTTCTAAGGATTACGTATATTTGGCGAAACAGTAACTGGTTGTGTAAGGTAATTGACGAACTCATCACTCCGTGAGGGTCACTTATCGATCGAACGAAATTCTATTTCCCTTGGCTCTAATCTTGTTTGTTTGGTTAAGGACGCTACTACAAATCTTCGTTATAGTTGTACCAAAGCTATTATTAGTTAAAGCAAGTAGGAGAGTAAGTTCAATATTGATTGCAATTAAATCTACATCAACTCATTGCTCGAGGATGCTACAGTGTTCTTGGAACAGTGACTATCAATTACAGTTAAATCAAAATTAAATAGTCACTTGCCAGTACCGAGGAACTTTCCCTATATAATCTGTAAAATATATTTCTTGTCAAAATTTTAATGTAATGTGCTCTGACAGAAACAACTTCGAGGTGATCATTGCATTTGATTCAACTACACCTTAAGAACTTCAGGTGTACCTACAGAAGGGAATTGTGTAACGCCATGTCGCCAGTATTCTACATAGATGTGCATTGCTTTTGAGTCGCTAATGTTTTCCTTAGGAGGATAGCGAGCAAGTAAGTTGTAACAGAGTCCCAACGCTGGTGCTTATCTAGTATCATGGCGCAACAGAAGGAAGTTATTTGCAGCGCCTCATCCCTGGCTTTAGAGATTCAGAAAGGAACGGTTGCCTTCGCTTTCCATACAATTGTTTGTTGTCACATCTTAAGATTATATGCTCGCCCCCTTTAAATGTCACGATATTGTGGAACCATGCTTCCAAGAGGTCATATTACTTCTATACTGTAATCTCTCTGTGACGAAGGGCACTTGACTTCTTTGAGCAAAACTTCGTGTTCTTCCTGGCTTATCTGCTTCTTTGCTTTAAAGCGGTATTTATCTTCGTTCCTAATGAAATCTTGAACAAGCAGTTGGAATCCGCAGTACTTGAACTGATTTAAAAATGAGAAAATGAATTAACTTACTTATCGGGCAACTTTTGCCGTCGTAAATATAAATACGATGTAATTTACAGTACTGTAGATGTTATACAATTAAATACAACAAACCTTGGGTTAAGGGTTGAAGA